CCGGATGAACCTTCAGAGTCCCTTTTGAATCAGAACAGGTCTCCGTTCAAAAAAAGACTCCACTGAGGTCGCATAGCAGCATTGCGGAACACCACGGCACCCACTACGCTACTGGCAAAATCTCGGCCGGTACTTGGTCGTCTTAGTGTATTACCATTGGAACCGGGAAACTTGCAAAGTGTGGAGGTGGTGGTGGCCCAATTGCCGCTGGGTACCATACGGGATACGGTAGTAAAGTTCCATTGGCGGCGGCGGCGGTCGTCGCGAACGGCTCGGCGGTTCCCACCCCTGAGTAAAGTTTCGATCACCCAACTCTAAGCCACGCGAGCGAACGCAAGGAGAAAGGGAAGGGTGAACAAGTAATTTAGCGCACGGATAGTGGAAGTTTTGCTGATGAATTCTGACGGAGCGGATCCCTTTTTTTTTATGATGCCTTGACACGGTGACATGTCAAGCCATGTGGGGGAAAGGGGGACCCTTCAACTACACAGCATTCGGCGACCTGAATCTAGTTTGACTTCCACATGGCTGCGCGCGAGTGCGCGCGGGTAAAGAATATCCGTACGCGGATATAGTTACTTACTTACCTACTCCCTTGCTTTCTTTGCCGTGAGATCAGGCATGATGGACCAGCTCAACATCGCCGCTCTCATCTTTTCCATCATGTTGCTTGCCAAGGTGACGACGCTCATTGGGGGCCAAACTCTATCGTAAAGCCCATCATGTCGACTTTTTGGACCTTGCCCCCTTCTTGCGCGTCATACTCTATAGCCTCATGCGTGGACTTGTGTCAAGAAAGAAAACTGCGTAAGACGTACACGCGATACACAATGAAGAGGCTCATGCGACAGCGGCTATTGCGTGATGCGATGCGTCTTGTTTGACTCGCCGAACCTTTTTCCTTGCTTCGCCACAACAACATCGGTAGTTCCGTAGGTGATGTATGTGTGTTCAACGCCAAGTCGATCTGACAAAGGGAACATGTGTGGGTGGTGTCTACGGAGTACTGTGGTCTGCGAGCGTCTGCGGTAGAACAGACGCATAGAACATTCCTTTTGGAACAAGAAATGAACGACCTAGTCCGTGTGTAGGTACTGTATCCGTACGTATGAGGAAGTGCCTGGTGTGTGTGTGTGTGTGGTGTCGTGCCGCCAGCCTGCGCCTGGGTCCTTACGGGCCTCTCCCTCTCCTGCATGGCCAGGAAAAAGGTGCAAACGTTAAAAATCCCATTCCGCGGGTGGTGGAAGGGGGGCGGGAAAGGAAAGGACGCCCCAAACCTTATGGTTGCTCAACCCTGTTGAACCCCTCCAAGGACCAAACCTACAGGGAAAACCGGACGGTGTCCTAGTTCCATCACAAACCTCTTAGTCCTCTTTTATTTTTTGCTAAAACTGCCGTAACCTGGAGATCGGAGTTAACATTAAGAACCCGCACCGGCGCGTTGCTCTCTATTACCGATACCTAGTGTGCTTTTTAGACTCTGTTTGAAGACAGAGCTAATACCCTTAGTTGAGGCTTGGTCAGGATAAGTGATAGAGGGAGAGAGAAGAGATAGAGACTCTAAAGGACGTGACAAGTGGACTTTGGGCTGGATCCAGGATTAGAAGGGGGATCGGCGGGCTCCGGCCGGCCGATGCCATGCTTTTGCTGCCCTCATTCTACTTCGTACGCCTTGGCGATTCCCTCACCGAATCGCAAGAGCAGAGGAACATACAGAGAGAGCGACGATATCATGGATAATAGTGTGTATCTGACTAAGGTAGTGAGAGATGGAGCACTGAGAGCAATTTGCAATGAGTCGTCTTTCCACATTCCCCCAGGCTACACGCCAAAGGCCTAGTGGCCGAGGGGTTGGAAATGAAAATGTATGTCAGTCATTGTCCCTGTTATGTAGAGATAGGAGCCAATGCGTGTCTCGAACCTTGCGAAAAAGGCAATTGGTCAACAAACACGACGAGGGGGAAAAACCACCCATCCATCAACAACCCGTCACCGCCTTGCCGCCACACCTCGCAAAATGATGCTGCTTCGCAATATGCAAGGAGACACACACCTACTGGTACTCACTGGCACTCACATACCTACTTACACGCACATGCGCACACACCTCGTTCTACAACCCCATTGCTGCAAGTCACGCTCATCAGCCGACATACATACATATCTTGACACCCAAAGCACACTTTCCTTCTAGCGTACCAAAGATCTAGAGGGAAGTTCCCCTTGCTCAAATTGTCCTTGCCAACCACCACCATCACCACAACCATGTTTCCTCCTCCTGCTTTTTCCCTTGCCCCTCCTTCCCCCTTCTCCAACGCAACCCTCCCACCACTACATACTCCGTACCCTTGCCGCCAAACCCCAGCCTGATCTAACCACCACCAGTACCGTATCACCTGCCGGAAACTGGGGAAAAAGAAGGCGACAGTGTGGGTGATGGGTGAGTGCGTGAGCTCTGTGAATAGAAACAGCTAGCCAGTCTGAGGGTATTCACCCTACCTGCCCAGTTTGAAGCGCCTGCTGTGACGAACCTTTCGGCATATGCTTCGAAACCCCCCTGCCTACCTGTACCATTTTTACCTCGAACCTGCACTGCAACTACATACCACAGTACGCAGTACACTAGACTCTCACCCATCCATCAACCAACCCCCTGCCTCCCCCATGAACCCCCAAATTTCTCAACAATTTTCCTTGGTAACTTCCTTTCTCGAGTAGTCAAAGGGGTCTCTCCTCAAAAGATTCCCCAGCTTCTGGAATAGGGAGCTGGGGAAGGGAAGCTCTCGCCTTGGCATTCGATGCTGTCAAGTACACATGTCGGAAAGTTGCGTCACAATGCTTCACGCTGTCACAATCAAAAGATTGGGAAACCATGCAGAAGATTGCTGTCAACGTTAGATGATGAGGCTGGCCGTTGGCACGGCTAGTGACATGTGCAAGATATCCCGCGCTGCCGCTTCCCATTGCGACCTTCCCGCCTCGAAACTCTCGATCTCATCAAAGAATGTTCGTCATAGCGTGACGCGTGACATCAGACCTTTCTAGACTTACACGCATCTCTCAACGGAGCCACAGCTCTCCTGCCATTTTTGGTAATTAATAGGATATCGACCACTTGGTCGTTCACACAATGCCATGTAATACAACGCTCGAAGAGAATAAGCGCCAAGAGGAAAGGTCAGTCTTTGCCTTCTTGCCGTTGAACTTGACGAAGTCTACGAGGTTCGCCAAGATCAAACGTTGTCAATGTCATCATCACCACCGACATCGACAACGAAAACGAGAAGAGACATGGACATGGGGCGTCGGGCACAGGGCCACTTACGCGAAGATCGTGTCACCACAACACGTGTGTTTCCGTGGTTCCGCAGAGGGACATTTAGAAAGAAAAAAAAAGAAGAAAAAAAGGGACGGGTAGACAGTGAGTGATCCAGAGAGCTTGGGCCACGGAAGGCTCGGGCAGATCTGGACGACGGGGAAGGGAAATGCGAGTATGTGAAATCCTTCTTCCTACGAGGTTTTGGGTGTGAGATACCTTGTCCCCCTTCCCGAAGGAAGAAGATCTTCACCAACGGCCGTAGGGAGATGCGGTGGTCTTCCTGCCGCATCTACACTACGCCCCAGCGGCCCAATAACCGAACCCCCTTAGGTTGACGACCACCCCTCCTAGCTCCCGCGGCGCCGGCACCGGATAAATTGAACGATCATGTAGTCGGTATGCTGTGTCTTGTCTGACCGAGACACCGAACCGAAACCCAGGTCTCCATGCCATGCCGCGCCATGTAATACCATGCCTTGCTCGCCGGGGGCGAGTTCTCGATTCCGTTTACCAGGTCCTCTCATTCGTTGCCAGTACTCCGTATACTCTGAGGGATCGGTAAAGTTCAGGTGGCAGGATGGAAGGGGGAAAAGAAAGGCAAGGGCTTCAAGCTGCACAGTAAGCAGCTTGCTCATGTTCTGCTCATCTTTAGAGTTTCGCGCGAAGTGGGAAGAAGAATCCAACTTTTTGGTTAGGGGGATGCCCCCTCTCAAAAACCGCGAGACCGGTACGCGGAATTTCCCGCTGAGCTTTACATACGACACTCTCGTTCAACAAACTGCCCCCCTAGTTCTGCTAGTGCCGAACATGAATTACTTCAAGGTCCCTTTTCACCGTCCTGTCCCTTCTCGTTGAGGGAGGGGAGCGGCAGGGAAGGGGGAAACGTTCGAATGCTGTCAAGTCGGGCGCCACAATGTAACGCCATGGCAAGTTTCTTGTCCACCACGCCGGTTCAGGGGATACGGGATGCAATCATACAAAACAAAAAAACTTGGTTTAGATATGGGGTTATCATTCAATCGAAAGTCCCCTCTTCAGAGACATTTTTTCTTGGCCCGAGGACTACCTAGCAAGTTGCAGAGAGAAAAAGCCACAGAATCAATATTTGCAGATCTTCATACGTCAGAAACGTCCATCCGATGGTTCCTGACCTTTAATCGACCACACCAGCACCTATAAGGCTACGTACCGGTCACATCCAGCTTAGGTAGGTAGACCTCTCGTTCGGCAAAAGCTCTGCTGAACTTTCCCCTCCATCGGTGGCGCGGTCCTGAACCCTTCAGATTGGTAAGCAACGTCGGCTGTCGCGGTAAGCGGCGTCAGGGATGTGCTCAGTATCTTGATCGGCTATCCGTACGGATACCTCGCGTGTGTTTATCAACGGTCTATATATGCTCTCCGATATAGCGTTGCATCCATGCGCAACGTTGAACGGGGTTCAGATTGTGAGGTGACGAAGCCACCTGAAAGCCTTTTGAGAGGAAGAAAAGAACACACATCCCTGGCAAATCAAGGTCGTAGGGAAAAAAAAAAAAACTGTTTGTTCCATTCACTCATTGCGTTTGGTCCTTCGCTACCAGCTAGTACCATGCAGACGAGCTGCTCGCATAATCCGAATCGTCAGAGCTTGCTGGCTTTTTGCCTGCGCTCAAGAGTCAGACGAAAGAGAAGGGAACCAGCTGCCACATACGAGCCAACACACACAGGCCAAGCTATGCCAATATGTGTGAACAATTCCGCCGCCCGCACAGCCCTACCTCGGAGTCTTGCCGCGGGTTGAAAGAGTCATGAACTGCCAGTCGATCCCGCTGGGACCCTGTTTTCCGACTTTCCCAAGGGCCCTGGAGTGGAGGGTGCGAGGCGAGGTAACGTTTCTTTGACCGGCTACAATATCCGCGCTTAGGCGCAAATGGAGATCGTTTCCCACTGTGTACCTGTCGATCAATTTCCCTCGAGAGAAGCTACCAAAACGCCGGGGTTAGAGGTTGTCTCTCCATGGCAGATATCCGATAAATTCTCCAGCCAAAGTGGCAAACGCCTTGGTAAAAAACGGTGCAGAATGTCGATCGTCTATTTTTAAGGGCTGAATTCCATGACTTGGGCCCCCATCAGACGGATTGGTCGGGCGAGCCGGTGGGCGGACCATTTTGTCCCGAGGCATTGCCATATTCGGCGTCACGCTTTTTGATATGACAAGACGTCGAGATTCGCATCAAACGGGCATGAACCCGGCCTCTATATGCGAGATTTGATTCGCTACTCAGACGCAGGTTTCAAGCATCTTGTCGAGAACCCCCTTCAGGGTATCATTCTCTAGCGCGGCAGCAACTCGCTCCTTGTCACTGAGCTGCTTGTTCACTTGATCGTCTTGCGCGTGCGCGTTTTCCTTGACCCTCACATCCACCCGCCAATTGGGAGGAAGTGCCTTCTCGAGGCGCACGCGAACTCCCAGACCAAGCACTGTGGCGAGAGAACAGTGAGAAACGGTTGGCGTCAACTCGACCAACACTTGAACCAACTTGTTGGGGTCCATGGCCATGTGCGGAGGAGGGCTGATGTGAATATCAGGCAAGTTGACAACAGCAAGTTGTCCTAGGGAGAGGGGGTGCTCTGGGTCTGAGATGGATGATATCAAGTCTATGAAACGTCAGTCGCGTGATCCTCCCCAGGAACTTAGTATAGCCGGAAAACGCGCAGGAGGAGTTCACCCGGAAAGGATGGCATTCCAAGCGTGAAGTCTGAAGCCAATGCATGGAGGACAAGCATCTTTGGGCACCACTCATCAAGGAGCAAGGACAACGCGCAACTGCAACATCCACTTGGTGAAGTACACGGCGTGATGAGTGGGTGGTCTGCATCAAGTGGCGCTTGCCCGACTACGCAGGACCGTGCTTGAGACACTCCAGGAACAGGACCAGGCAGGATTGGAGCTCATAACATGCAAACCCCAATACTTGGTAAGGTGAACCACTGCATGGAAGAAAAGGGGGGGAGCAGTATGAAAAAAGGGTTCCTCACCGTAGATTTCTTGTTCATCAATGGGCTCTTCTGTCCACTGAGAGTGATCGGCCTCCGGCTCAGACCACAGTGAATCATCATCACAGAACGGTTCCGAGAGGTACCAGGGTTTAGCGAAGACGACATCGTCGAACTTGTGGAATGGGCCCGACTTGGGTGCTTCACGCTTGCTCTGACGCGTCGGCATCTGGGCCGCGCTCAGGATGGTCGGATTCGCATTGTCAAGATCTTTGTCCATGGTGTCAAGATATCCGTGCTTGTCGCTTGACCAGGATGAAAGTCCAAGTCCGCTAGTTTGATTTAGTTGCTGCCCCGGCAAAGTTGCAAATAGTGTGGCCCCCAACCTGGTTCTCTTTCTTCGATCTCAGTTCCCTCTTTCTCTTGCTCTCTCTCGCTTTCTTGTCGACGAAATCTCCCAATACCACCAAAATCTCGGGATACAAGCAGGGTAGCAGCTATGTGTGGTGGGGGAAAAGGAGATAGCCTTGTCAAAAAAGTGAGGTTCTTCTTTCTTTCTTGCCTCGGCCCCTGCTTATTCGGTAGCGGCGGAATGAGACGGTGAGATGATGTTGGTTAATGGCGTCTATCTTGCAGATGCGCAATACGATGGTTTTTTTTCGGTCTTCCCTGTCAACGGTTGGAGTGGATTGCGAACTTGGTTGGCGATGGACGTTGCTGTGGATGGGAAAGAAATGACCTGGCATGAGGGAATCAATATTTTTGGCCATATGCCCCCGGCTCGACCCCGCTCAGTGGACGAGGATTAGATAAGCGACCGCATCAGCAGTCAAGTGCAGTGGGCGCTGCAACGGACGCATGAATCACTAATCTTAGACTGATGGAAAGCACTCTCGAAATATTGCCCCTCACTTGCCGAATCGGTCCAGAGATTGCGGGGCCGTCCCATCTTCAGAGCCGTGTCGTCAGCGATCCACTGAAAAAAGGTTGTCGATGATCTTCCAATAAATCTAAAATAACCTCTTTGGCATGGTGGGAAAAAATGAAAGTCGAAAGATGCGTGGATGCCCATTTCCTTCCCGCCCCCTTTACCCCTCAAAAGGACCCCAAAAACGACCCCCATCAACCGTCCAAAATGGAGGACGCGGCCTGCGGGCTATCTGTGCCTGTACCTGTGCCTGTGCCTGGCGGCCCTGCATACGGCGTGCGTGCGCCATACCACCCATGATCCATCCTTCCCGCTGATGGATACGAAATTGAGAGGACGGAACAAAACCCCCAAAAAGCATCCATGAAGATTGTCTCTTGTAATTTTCTCTCTCTCTCTCTCTCTCTCCTTGCTGCACCATCAAGATTTGTTCGGCCCCCATGTTACCACACCCATCGGGCGAATACACGCTCTTGGAGCTAGCAAGCTAAGATCATCTCAGGTGCCTTGCCGGCTTGTAGTACGGAGTACGTAGCAACGGCGTAAGGCTGATAGGACCCTTGAGAAATAGGAGAGCTGGCCTGCAGGGAGAATTATTCAAAGTTTGATTACTAGTATATCCTCAGACCGAATTGATAGAAGCTACGAAGCCGTCATTATTGCTCCATTTCCCTTCCCATGCTCGCCCAAACCACGTTCTGCGAACAATTTCAAAATGAGCATCCTCTATGTAATGACGAAGGCCACCTTGGCCCGTTCAATATCTAAGACAAGCCGTCGTGCCGGACGAGACCCCACGTTCTTTTGTCCCGACTCCGTCGTCTGAACCATCTACGGATATTGACAGGCAAGGGCCGCAAGGCGGACTCGATGAGGGGCTAGGGAAAATTGGCTTTCTGGGTGCCCGGACGCGGATATCGCACATTCCTTCTCCCGCTTCTTCTCGAAGCTCGGCGGAACTTGGAAGCATGATGGAAGCAATAGAACAAGATGAGGGCTGATTTCACCGCGCCGCAATCCTTGTCTAGAAGCCTCGCGGAAGCCAACTTGAAGGTTCCGCTCCAAACGTTTCAACCACGCACGCCTCCATCCTGTCTGCCGCAGACTGGCACCTGTCATGGGGAACTGCCCACAATCTGCAAGCCGCGCGCTGCGAGGCTGTTCCCCGAGGTTTCCGCCGCTGAGGCTGCTTTGTTTCTCACTGTGCCCCGGCATGTCACCTTTCAGAGTCGTCAACACGTCCCGGTGTCCCTGTCCAGTCCGCGTCGGATGCTCTATCCCGTAACGGTTTAGGTGGTGTAGTTGTTCGGCACTGCTGCTATGTCTTGGTTTGCTGCCCATTCTTTAGAGGTTCCCCGGAGCGGGCGGACGGGACAGACCCTGCCCGATGGGCAGCTCCCCTGGCACTCGGCCGAGTCGTCTGTTCCTCCACCACGCCACCATCATGCCGGATGTTGTGACGCTTCCTCTCAAAGTGTAACTTTGTGAATATTCGTTGTGATATTTGCCTTCTCTTGGCGGTTGACCGTTATTCTCGTCGGCTTTTCCTGCATGGTCGGATCGCCTAGCAAATGTACCGCATGCGAGTCACGGAATGTCCAACACAATCTGACGGACATGGATCAGTAGCAAAGTGGACATCCAGCAGAGCGACTGGATCCCCATTCGGACCGTTCTGGCTCTGGACACGCCCCTCGTGCATCCAAAGGCAATCCCATCCCGTACTTGGCTTCCCCCCTTGCCCATCCAGCCACGCTCGACAGCGTGCCCGAGATCTTGGGGGCGAAGAGCAGGAGTCCCCCCTGAACGAACGATTCCAGGAACCAGTTGTGCGAAGGGAACAACCGAGCGTGACAGATGCTAGCTCCTAGCGCTAGGCGCGTGGTTCGTTGGCACGAGTTCGGATCCGAGGCAGACACAGCCCCAGGATGCAGGGCGAGCCATGCGGCCTGAAACCACCAGTGCGCCAGTTGTACGGATAAACGTCCCCTTTCCATATTCAAAGAAAATGAAGGTTGGTAGAACGTCCAATAACTCTCTGGAGCTCTTAGCCACAGCAACGGCCCCTTTCGTGTCAGGCTCGAGATTTTGTTTTTGGTGGATAGACTGTATTCCTTTGAGGGTTGCAAAAGGCTGGACGGCATGTTGGGGACAGGCCTGACAGGATCGAATAGGGTAAGGTAAGACTTGGCGTGGATGACGGCTTCCTCGGTAGGTTCCTGTTCGAAGGCCTGCGATGTTATCGAGCCAGGTGGCCACCGCTAGTTTTTTAGCATGTGAATGATGACACTACTGGCTTGCTCACCCCATTTTATGACCAGCTCCCCTGCTCACCGTGGACTTATGACACTGCCCATTTCGGTTGGCTGGTAAAAGGTGGTTCTGCTTGCATTCTATTTGCTGGCAGACTGCCGATGCCAGCATCTCCAGGACGAGAGTGGAGGATGGCACGCCGTGAGGGATGCCGAGGGAAACAGCAAGCTAATTCCCACCAACGGCTTGAAGATGGGGGGAAGTTGGGTCTCCCCTTCCAGACCGATGTGCAACTTCCATAAGACTATCAATCCTTGTCCGCAAAGCTATACGGCATCGACCTGTTGGCCTATGGTTGGACATAGAGCCGTTGGCGAGTCCTTTGAAATGGGCTCTGCTAATAGCAGCACGTTCCAGGCTCATTCGCGAGACCGTGAGGATATTGGCGAATTACCCAGAGTGAAAAAAGGGCGCAGGTTATGGTCGCCATCAGACCCCGCGATCTCCACAAAGCTATCGACCAGTCCTATGAAGACATCGGCTCCTCATCATCCCATTTCTTCTCGCCCACAAGGACAGGCTGCAGGCCATACGGTTGATGGCCAGGCGAGCTCATCCCACGCATGTTCTTGCATTTTTGGCTCTTGCATCCGTCCTTCTTATTAGCTGCGGCGCGAGCTATGTATATTAACTTGGCTGTTGGACAGGGCCAAGGCGTCTGTCAAACGACACCGGTCCGCCACCGGCCTATTCAATTTCTGGAGGTATTGATCAACCTAGAATGTGGACGCGTCCCCTCAATTTCGCCCAAGGATTACCCCGAAATCGAAGGCTTGCTCGAAGTGATGCTCACTGATTGGGCCAGTGCCAATGTGTGTAAGTCGCTCCACGGTCGTGGTCTTGATCTTTGACAGGCCATTCCGGTCCAGATGGCTAGGTATGTGGTATGCTTCTTGGTCCAGGAGCTCGAAATTCCCCGCGAGAAATGCGGCATAGCGTACGTAGCTTCTCCATGCGCTGCCAATCTTCCTTCTGGAAGTGTACATCAGTATCATGCTAGGTCTACGCAAGCTGGCGCACCAGATGCAGACAATGAAACCGACGTGGCGGCATGGATGATATATCCGACATTAGATGTTGTAGTTCTTGGTACGAGGACTTGTCCCCCGCGGCCTCGTCTTAGTGGCGTGATGGCACAATTTTCAGTGCCTCCAGGCACGAAGATACAAATTGGTCGAACATCTAACATCAGAAATCCGCAGCGCGACGAATGCCATACTGCCCGGGCTGCGGGTTCTTAGACCTTCACAATCCGGCGAGGCCGTTGGAACTACAGCGTGGCCTGACGATGTGGCCAACAAGCTCGCCACATGAGACGGTTGGTCTGCAGAGTAGACACAGAAACACGACGAACAGTATCCGTCAGACGCTTCGTGCGGCACTGTGAGCCCAAAAGGGCATGATGACGAGGCGCCCGGTGAGACGAGTAGCAGAATGAGTAGTGTGAGGAGTAGCTTGGCCAAGTGTCATCTGGATTAGCGCCGTCAGTGCGTCAAGGCGCTGATGAGGCCAGAACCTTCGTCGAAGGCCCGAAGAAGGGTTCGATTGGGTGGCATGGCGGGACGGTTGGATAATACTGGATCAGGAAGTGATTTCGAGGTCCCAACTTCCAAGTGTTCAGCGCCGAAATTACATCAAAGCCCGGGGTTCGTCGACGGCAGTGCGTAAAGTAGGTACTAGGACGTGCCTACGCAGCTCGGTGGCAGGTTTCGATGTTTGATGAGATTCAGATAGTGATTGATCAATGGGAGTCCGCCGGCTAATTTGGAGCGTATTATTCAGTGTGGGTGACACCGTGACAATGGTAAACGCCGCGACGTCGTTGCTTTTCGATGCTTTCCATGAGCGGCACTTGAAGTTGAGTGCCATAAACCGGCTGGGCCTGGAACTCAAGGAATTGGCTCAAGAGGCATTCTAGGATGGCCGTTCCACGGCGAACCTTGTCTTGGGATTCCAGAACCGAACCCCAGCAAGCAGAGCATGGTGGTGCAGCTCTAATTCCCATGCGAGCGGCACCAAGTCAATCCTGGCCAAGGGGAGAGGCCCCTGGCAGTCTAGAGGCTGGAGCTGCTGGGACTCGAGAGGCGAGGGGAAGAGAGTGTGGACTCGGCTATGGGGGCTCGTCGGCAGGGTATTGAAGCCAGTTGAGTGTTGGGGATACTGGCGTCTTTGCGTCGTCAAAGCTGGGTAAGGCCGGCGTGAATAGGTATCCGTACTTGATGCCAGGAGGCGGTGGCTTGGGGATGGAAGTCGAATACTCCGTAGTAGAAGGGCCTAGCAACTGCTTTGATCAGTTGGTTCGTGGGTGAGGGGAGCGGCACTGGGGGGTGGGAAGAGTTGAGGTGTGGTGAGGTGCGTTATCACATCTGAGATGCAGTGCAGAGTACGTACCTTGCCGTACGGCGGATGCCGTCTCCCTCCTCTCTGCAGTCCCTTGACTTCAAGTCACTGCAGGCCTAGGCAGCGAGTACATTGGA